AATGATTAAGTGGTCAGTCCAACAAGAGGGTATAACCATTATAAATATCCATGCACCTAACATAGGAGCACATAAATATGTGTAACAAATTCTAACAAAATTAAAGGGGGAAAGAGAATGCACTGCATTCATTTTAGGTGTCTTCAACACACCATTCACTCCAAAGGAAAGATCAACCAGAGAGAAAATAATTAAGGAGACAGAGGCACTGAGCAACACATTAAAACAGATGGACCTAATAGACATCTATAGAACTCTACACCCAAAAGCAGCAGGATACACATTCTTCTCAAGTGCACATAGAACATTTTCAAGAATAGATCATATATCAATCCACAAAAAGAGCCTCAGTAAATTCAGAAGGACTGAAATTGTACCAACCAGCTTCTCAGACCACAAAGGTATGAAAATAGAAATAATTATGCAAAGAAAACAAAAAAGCTTAGAAACACATGGAGGCTTAACAATATGCTCCTAAATAATCAATTGATCAATGACCAAATAAAAACAGAGATTAAGCAATATATGGAGACAATGAAAACAATAACTCAACACCACAAAATCTATGGGAAGCAGAGAAGATCGTGCTAAGAGGGAAGTATATTGTAATATAGGCTTACCTCAGGACAGAAGAATAATCCCATATGATCAGCCTAAACTCACAATTAATGAAGCTAGAAAAAGAAGGACAAATGAGGCCCAAAGTCAGTAGAAGAAAGGATATAATAAAGATCAAAGCATAAATAAATATAATTGAGACAAATAAAACAATAGAAAGAATCAATGAAAGCAGAAGCTGGTTCCATAATGGTAATCACAATGTTTTTTCATGTGAAACCTTAATTTAAAAAATTAATGAATAATAAAATAAATTTTAAAAATGAAAAATAAAGTAACTGATAAGAATTCAAAAAATAAAATGTGTTGCTTAACTCTAAGCAGATATATAGATAGAAGATAGATGATAGATGATAGATAGATAGATAGATAGATAGATAGATAGATAGATAGATAGATAGATAGATAGATAGATAATAGATAGATGAGAGATGATGGATTGACTGATGATAGATAGATAGATAGATAGATAGATAGATAGATAGATAGATAGATAGATAGATAGATAGATAGATAGATAGATAGATATGATAGATGGGGATATGATGCTATGGGCACACAATTTGTACTCTCAGGAATTCTCAGTGTAATATGGATTCACAATAACTATAGCATATGGGAAGACTATAACTGCCCAAACAGTAGTATATGGGAACAATGCAGACTGATAACTTGTTTTTCTAAAACACATGCCTGAACTAGCTAAGAAGAAATCAGGAACAAAGTTCAGCATCCTAATCTGATTAGCTCATGTTGTAGAAAAATAAATATTATCACTCAGCAAGTATTGTTAGGTCAAGCAGGACCATCTACACAATTTGTAGGGCCCATTACAAATTTAAAATGTAGGTTTCTTGGTTAAAATTATTCATAATTTCAAAACAGTGAGAGTTCAGCATTAAGCCAAGTGCAGGAGCCATTCTAAACTCAGAGTCCCATGTGACTGCACAGATCATAAACCGATAAACCCAATCTGAGTACTAGCAAGAAATTGACCCTGGATGATCCCAACAGCAATTATTACATGTCCAAGAATATTGCATACAAGCCTCAAAGCAGCACAGAAAGAACTATCATGCAAAATTCCAACCTTGTATTAGCCTACTGACGATACCATTGCCATGTGCTATAGCTATGCAGCTGCCCCCATAGACTGGAGAATTTAACTTTATTACAACCAATGTTAAGTAAAGGCAAAAATTCCCTATAGTCTCTGAATTTATGAGGGTCTCCACCTCCTGAGTCAGTTTCTGAGGTAGAAACATCCAATTGACAGAGCCTAATTCACTAATTACTGGGAATACTAGGAAAGCAAGTAATGCATTTTCCTCATATGGCAAGTGACCTATGTCTCCCAGCAGGTCACATAAAATAGGAAATTCCCCAAACATAAGGAGGAGGATGTGCTAGGCAGCTAAAAAAAAACAAAAGTCCATTAGAGAAATAAAATACTTTTCTCAGGCAGATAAAGTTATGAAGCTTGGTATACTTGTTTGTTTCACTCTGAAACTCACAAGTTTATCTTAGAAGGAAGACCCTGAGAGTAATATATATGTACAATACAAAATATATACACAGGCACTCTTTCTTTCCAACATCTTTCCATTAGAAACCACCATCCACAATTTGTTTTCAACATTTTCTGAAAAATAAGATTGATCTGAAGTCATTCCCTTCTTCTGAACAAACTCATCATTTGTCAGTTGCCGTGATAATGCACTGTTGTTCACTGTCCATCCTTACACTTTTTCCAGATTATATTCTCTTAGCCCAGTCATGTAATTCTGATGGAGCTGCCCATCACCCTCTCATACTTCTATATTCATTTTAATGGCAATGAGGCCCAAACCTAGCCAAGTGGTCCTAGCCACAGTGGTCTGATACGGACACTTTCAAACTTTAATGTAGACACCAACCAACCAGGAATTTTTAATAAGCAGATTCTGACTCAGTAGATGTGCGTACACCTGAGAGTCTGCATTACTGACAAACTGACAGATGATGCCTCTGCTGCTGATCTATGGACAATTCTGAGAGCATCAAGGACCTAGATATCTCCTGAGACCCAGGGCTGTGCACGCTAACAAAAGCAAGCCAGTAAGTCAACCTATAGAAAGTCAAGGTAAGAGCAAGAATGACCATTTAGTTTCATCTTCCAGCTAATGGCACCTGGGGCCAGTTCCTCCTCACTCCAGACACACAGGCCAATAAATCCATGTTTTATTTAAATAATCCTGAGTTTGATATCTTCACTTGCAATTAAAAGAATACATAAACTATGAACTTTTTCAGATACAATTTTACATAGTCCAAGCTGTCCTGGACAAGTTAATCCTCATTTGCTGTATTTGCAACCTACCTACCTTAAAGAATTTTGAATTCTGATTCATGTTTATAAGAAACAACTATAAATAAATATATAATTGCTGAATTACATTTTACATGTTTGAAATTGACTTATTTTTGTTATATTAATAATTATCTAAGTAAAGCTAATACAGTATCTAAGGCTTCTCTTTGACTGATTGAGTAGACAAATGGTCTGCATTCAAAATTTCTATTCCCTCTCTGCTAGCTTCCTGTAAGTGTTTCTCTACTGACTTCTTTGTAGGTGACTACATCTCTGGAACCAGGAAAAGGAGTACCATATAGCCCCAGTCTGTTGAGGGTACAGACATTTCTAAAGCAAAACTAGTATTTTAAATAATATGCTGATAGGTCCAAAAATTCCACCAAGTTCATATGTGTTTACAAACTACACTTATCCATAAAAATGTAACTTTACACTTTTAAAATTAGGTTCTCTATTAACTGCATTGTGGATTAAATCCGTCCTCCTCTGTCCACATGGCATATAATATCAATCACCATTGGAGAATTAGATGCATGGCAATTTTTAAGACAAGGTTAAGTAAACACTTGGAGAAGTCTTCCTAAAGAAAAAAGACTCATTGTTTAGAGAGGAGAAAATGTCACAGTTCTCTGAGACAAATGGAATAAACATTCCCATTACAAGTACAAATAGTAGAGTGATTAGCAAATTCACAAAGCATTGCTACTATGCTTTATTAAAGCAATTTATTTTTAGGCCAAGCAGCAGTTACTAGAAAAATCATTTTCTGAGGCTAACATTAAAACAAGACAGCAAAACAACTTCACCAGATAAGTCAGCCCTAATACAGAGCCTTTATACAGTTTTTCCTCATAGAGTCCTTGTCTGTTCCCTTGGGCCCCCATAAGGTGTTTCACATGGGCTCCCATAGCATTCCTTACTTCCCCCATCATCTACAGAGCCACACAACACCCATTCGCTTTGCTGAATCCCTCCCTGTCTCTCCCCACACCCCTCTGCACGGTTAAGTGTTTAGCAGAAAGTTAGTGTTTTAAATATTTTATTTACTACATTGACAAGAAAGTTGGAATATGCTTTATTACAACCAATTTAATTCAAATGTGAGAAGCACCTTCACTTTTAAGTTGCTTGCATAGTGCTATTGCAATCTGCTTTGAGTAAATTTCATACATCACCAAGTATGTATGAGCATGAAAAGTTTTATTTTTTTCTATAAAAAAGTAAATCTACCCATGCTGTTGAATTTGGCTAAAAAAATCATGGGTGTTGTACTGGCCTTTAAAAACCTTCAAATCCAAAGTCATAACCAAATGTTTAATACTATCAAAGAAATAAAAAACAGGTAAAACCTTTTAAGCACTGTCCCAGGTAAAGAAACGTTTTCTCTGCTATGATATATCAACAACTACCACTAGGGGGTGCTTCATCTCTTCTTATTCCTAGTAAATGACTGCCGCAGTGAAGGCAAATACCCGTTGATTACTTCCATTCTTCATTGCATGTGAAAGTTTATCCTGAAGTATTTAACATCTACCAGCTAACGATTTTGTTTATTGAATACTAGTCAATCTACTCTAAAATGATGACTTTCCTTGATGGAAGTTAATTTTACACGTAACTTTCTTTTCCCATTTCCATTGTTCCACTGACATAAGAAAACATTATATTCAGAATCCAAAGTAATAGGATTTTCCATTCAAAAAACATAACAATTATTGCATATGCCTAAAGATATTAAGAAAAAAAAGATTTAGCTACTATCTTTAACTTGATGAGTTTAACTTTAACTCTAACTTTCCCAAACTTCATCAATGCATGGCAACCTTAGTGTCTCAGTAACTTTTTCATGATGTCACGGGACAAAAATAAATACCTGGAGTTTTGTTTGTTAAGTAGTTAGGTTTATCAAGTTAAAAAGTATTTAGGTTCTAACAACTTACTAGATGTTTGGGGGGAAAAAATACACATAAACAGAAAGGAAAAACAGTATTTTATTTCATCATTCCACACCTACTCTATTAATTATCTATAGCTGCCTAACAAATCAGTGTTTTGAACATTTATTATTGCACCATTTCCATGTGTTGGAAATCCCAGAGGGGCTTAGCTGGGTATGTCTCAGAACCTCTCCTGAGGTTGTCGTCGGGGCCGGGATGCGCACTGAGGCTGGAGGAGCCACCACGGCTCATTTACACAGCTACTGGCGGGAAGTCTCATTTCCCTGGTGGTTGTTGGAAAACAGGCTCAGTTCCAGGCCCCTCTGTAGAGCTGCTTGAATATCTTCACAACATGGCAACTGGCTCCCCCAAAAGTGAGTGATCCAAGGAAGAAAGCAAAGAGGAAGTTGCGGTGCCTTTCATGACTTTGATTGGTGATCACACACCACCATTTCTGCCATATTTTGTTTTTTAGAAGCTAGTTTCTAAGCTCAGTCCATACTCAAGGGAGAAGAATTAGGCTCCATCCCTTAAAAAATAATTATCAAGTAATTTTTGATACATTTTAAGACTTACTACACTTACTAGAGATGTGTGTAAACCTGTTGGGCACTGTAGTGGTTAATGTAAGTGTCAAGTTGACAAGGCTAAGGGATGCCCAGAGAAGTGGTAAAAGCATTATTTCTGGGTGTGTCTGTAAGGTTGTTTCTGGAAGAGATTAGCATTTAAATCATAGACAAAGTAAAGAAGATAGCCCTCCCAAATAAGTGGACACCATCCAGTCTACTGAGAGCCTGAATAGATCACAAAGGTGCAGAAAAGACAAATTTGCTCCCTCTGTCAGATATCCATCTTCTCCTGCTCTCAGACATTAGTACCTATTGGTTCTTGGGCCTCTGGACTTGAACTGGGACTTAAACCATTGGATTCCTGGTTCTCAAGCCTTTAGGATAGGACTGGAATTATACCACAGGTTTTCCTGGGCCTCCAGTTTACAGACAGGTAGACCATGGAAATTTTCAGCCTCCATAATCATATAAGCCAATTCCTCCTAATAAATCTCTTTCTACATGTATATATATCCTATTAGTCCTGTTTCTACAGAGAACCCTAATATAGGCACTGTACTCTCAATCTTAGGAATCAGATTAGAAACCACCACCCTCATTTCCTGATACACACTGATTTTCATGTGCTATTTGCTTTTTATCACAGCAGCCACTGAACACTCAGCTTCAGAGTGATATGCCTTCTATAAAGCCATGTAGCACAATGTAGATTGAAACAGTAAACTCTCTTGAGCTATAAATTCATGCAGTGGCTGACAGATGCTGAGTTTCCCTCAAAATTTTAAAAAATATCGTATGTCCACTTTAGCTCACTGAGGGCCCCAGGACTGCCTTAGTGTACAATTTGGAAAACACAGACTTAATAACCTTTTTCTCAGAGATGAAAATGAAGGTTGAGCATATGTTTCAAAAAGCCTTTCTAGGCATTTCAACAGTTTCCCTATTATTCACACCCAGGGAGATGATAAAAGGAAAATGAGGAGGCTGTTTCTATCCATGGTGTTGAAATAGAAAGTTTTGTGTTATTACAAATGGTTGTGGAATGCAAAACATTCAAAGGGCAGAATATTTTTCCTCTGTCTATTTTAGCCAAAATCAGCTGGATATGAAGAAAAAGCAATCCAAGAATGATAAACACAACTTTTGAAAAGTTGTTTGAAAAAAAATTAGTATTCAAGAAGTAATTCCTTCCTTTTCATTAAAAAAAAAAGAAAAACTTCTTATTCTCCTTTCCTGCTATAATGTTATATTACTGTAGGACTGGAGTCTGTGTCAAATGATTAGAGTACATCTACTTCCTTACTCATAGGAAGTTAGTCCTCACTAAAAGAAAGCTCAGATAATGAAAGATCTTCCAATTAGCAGACAGAAAAACAAAACAAAAAACCATGTCTCTCAACTCCTTCCTAAAATATCACAAAAATAACAAAAAATAATTTTTTGAAGGAATAATCCCACAAAAACACAAAGAAAGAAGACATGATGATAATAACTAGTGATTATGGCCCACAAATACTGGAAGATGAAAGCTGTGGTATGTGGGGCGGGTTTCAGCTTCTCTGCTCTGCTAAGTACCTGAAGAAGAAAATGCCAACTATATGTCAGCTGAGTTATGCCACAGAAACTCTGAACATATCCATCAATAGAGGAACCATGGGCTTCTGAAGGCATTAGATTTGCACCTAAGGGTAAAAACAGAAGAATTTGTTAAAAGTCTGAATAAGAAATAGACTCATTAGTCCATGCAGGCAGGCACGTGCCTACACACCACAGAAGACAGTGGGTTCCCTGTGGATAACGGAGATGTTCACTGAGTTCACTGTCAGAAGTGAAATCTCTAGTCCCCTTCCACACACTGGACTCTGAGAAAGCTGACCATCAGGGTTACACTCCATCATGTGAGACAGTGGAGGAAGTTTTCTAAGGAAACTGTCTAGCCCTCTAAATATGGACAGCCAGATGTCCCACAAGACAGCCACCTCCCGCCTGATCACTCCACAATGAAATCTCACACTTGATAAGCTAGATGTGAATGCAGAACTGCCAACCAACATTTTAATGCCCCACTCTATTTTGAAACAACTTACATAAAAATTTCAGACCACAAGACCTCCTGTTTCCCTTGTACTCAGATTGCCAAATATTAACATTTTACCAAATATACATGACAGCCAACCCTTTCTATTTCTCTGTCTTTCCCACTGTGTATGTGTGTGTCAGATGTAATATACCCACTATCATTAGTTGTATGCTGAACCTTTTAAAGGAAAACTTCAGATATGATGTCCCATCACCTCTAAAAAGTCCACTGTATATTTCCCAAATCAAGGACAGTTTTCCATTCAAATTTTGCCAACTATTCAAACAGATTCTTTTTCCTTTCTGGTCTAGGGTTGTGCCATGGAATATGTGTTGCATTTACTTATGATATCTCTCTAGATCCTTTCAACCTGAAACAGTATTTCCCAGTCTTTGATGTCCTTACCAGTTTTAAAGAGTATAGGTTTCATATTCTGTAGGATGACCCTCGCAGCATGTCTCAGGGTCAGATGCAGGTTATGTAACCTTGACAGGAACACCATGGAAATCATGGTGTGCTTTTCTCAGTGCATCTCATCAGGGGTTTCAAACATAGCATGAAAAAAACAAAAGCAGGAATTAAGTCTGAGAAATTTGTCAAGAGTACTGGGAAGGAAATGAAGCCAGTTTATGATTACAAAGAACTAATGAGAGTCTGAGACTTTGCCCTACTTGCAAGTCGACAAATTAGCCTGCCACAGTTTATGGATGCTGGTAAAAGACACAAGTCTCCTAGACCAGAGGCAAAGGATTTTATTACTCACAAAGCAGCAGGCAGCATGAGCTTCACAGTCACCCTGGCTCCCTGTGCCCTCCATGTCTCATGAGGGTGACAAGTGTGGCCCAGGTGGATGCTGCACATGCAGCGGGTTTGCACCACAGGTGAGGAACACTGAGCTCAGGGAACCCCAGGCCTTTCTAATGGGCTGAAAGCAAGCCTGCATGACCTTTGCCCAGGAGGGAGACATTCTCTTTACCATACTGGACAGCAAACAAACGGGTCCTGTGCCCTAGAGGAAGAAACTACCGCTATCTTCCAAGGCTGTGCAGAATGTAAAAGACCCATGGAGAATTATCTCCCAACCACCATGTGATGCACTTCTGAAAATAATTACGTGATCATAATAAACTCTGAACATTGACTTAACCAAAAATTGTGATTTAAATATTTTGGGAAAGGGAGAATGTGTTGAGGAAAGTGGAATCACATAAATCCTAATATTCTACAATAGAAAATTATTAGATAACATCTAAATGAAAATCAAGAAAAGGAAGTGAAAGTGTGCTATTTTTTAAAAAGGAGAAATAACTAAAGGGTTCAATGTGGTATTACCTACAACACAGTTTTCATGAGATGGGAAATTTGAAAGAAGTAACTGCTTTTCTTCATCATAGCCTATTTGACATTTTAAACTATGCACATGATTATTTTCATTAAAGTTAAAGTACAATTTAAACAGAAAGAAAGAGATCCTGAGTCAAAAAGTTTTATTCCAATCATTAGATTACAGCTTTAGGAAATTTAATCTGCTCCAAATGTCTCCAAGGACCCTAAAAGAAATTCAGGCACTTGGTTTTTTGCAACAAAGGCATCTCAAAGGCATAAGGCAGCACCCATATGTTAAGGACCAGATATCCACTGCAGATCTACAGGACAAGCCCCTCAGACGTGGTAGGTGTGGCTGGATTCCACTAGAACTTTCATGGTGCTCAGTGATTACACACCCTCCTCTAAGGAGAGAGAAAACAGCTTCATTGCTGGTGTGGTGTCTGTAATAATCTCTCCCAGATCTCTGGACTGTATTCACAACAAAAGAAGCTTGACTTTGTGCAGCCCTCCAAGCTGTTAACTCTGTTAACTCTCAGGAGTCCCTCCATCTATGCCAGAAAATATGGATGAGAGCAGGGGTGAAGTGACATGAAAAAAAGATAATGGATTAAGAAGGATGCTAGTATGTTGGAATTTGAAATTCTATAAAGAGTCAAATATTATATTACTTCATTTAGTCTTTTCTTCCACAAATTGGTTCCTTGCACTTAAAAATAAAAGTGATGGGAGTGCATAAGGTAAAAAACAGAAGCTCCCAGGCTGTTAAAAGGAGGGAATGAATCAAGAAGAAGGAAGATGCAGAATGCATGAAAAGAAGATCAACGTAAGAAAGGTCTGAGGGACTCAACCACATAATGCAAATAGCGATCCCAGAATATGACTGCTGTGTCCCGGCATAGAGGACAACTGGTTCCAACTTGAACAGTCCAAAGACTCTGAAAGAAGTTTCCTCAAGTACAATGTAATAGCTAGAATATCCCAGATAATTGACAAAGACTTTATATTGAATAGCATGCTTTCCAAACTGGGGCATACTGACAGTGAATGTGGCCATTATTATTATTAAAACAAACTAAGAGACATCAAGTGGGATGATGGCCCCAACGGTATGAACAAAGCAATATGCAAGAAGGAAAAAGTAACAATAATTTGCTACATGGCAAACCTGTGAATATTCCTTATAATAATGTGAACACTGATTACTTTTTCAAAAAAAGGATAATATAACCAGAGTGGAAAAATAAGTGCATGGAAAAGGTACACAGGTGTGGTGGGAATGAGGAACAAAGGGATCTAAATCCTCATCTTCTGTTCAAAGCCATAAGAACTGATAGATAATGTATAAAAGTGAAAAATCAAGAAATAACAAAGTAAGCATGTTATTTAGAAACATAAAAGGTAAATACAAAACTCAGCAGCTAAAATGGATGAATTCTTTTCCTTGGGGAAAAGAAAATGGACAGAGAACAAGAAATTGCCATTTTTCATAATTATTTGCCTCTTTAGGCTTTAAGTATTTATATCATTGATATAAATAAAAAGTTTTAAAAGGGAAAGATGGAAGAAAGGAAGGAAATAAGGGACAGGGAAAGAGCAATGTACCTATTTACCATCTGATATAACTAAGAATATTAATAGAAATGTCAAGTCTAAACTACAGTTGATAGGATTTTCCAACTTATATTTATTTTGTCTTGGAAAGTTACACACAAACTTTCCAAGTGGATAAAGTGTTTAAAAGAAGTAGCACTCCTTAATATTTACAGGAACAGGGAAATAAGCTAAAACTGAAATGATGCTGCAACATGCCTCAGAAATATGTATTTAGAAATAACTTACTCAGCAGCATTTGTTTCAAAGCCATGAACAGTGTATATATATATATATATTTTTTTTAATTTTCTTAGCTGAGTTTTCAGTTACCAACAGACATTACTAAGCAACCTGGAAAAGGAAATTGTGAAAGTAAAGGGGAAAAATACCCATCTACTCATACCTTTTCTTTGCAGTATTCTTGTGGCCTCTCCGACTTCACCCTGACAGATACTGTCATTTATGAAGACACCAACTGCCTGACTGTAATTTGATTTTCAGGAATAGTAACCAACATGTTCTGATTAGAGCTATGGAAAATGTGGTGTAGATGACACCTCCTCATCATTGACTTGTCCTTTACAGGAGTTCAGGAAAAAGTCACATTGTCATTTCCACCAATAACACATTTTGCTCAAGATTCTGTATGGAAACTATATTCAAAGGCTTCTTGGTAGATGTATATCTCTGGGGCCCAAAACCCTCTTGTTATGGGTACACATTTTCTCACCTTCTCTGAGTACATTTACTTATAAATCCATGAGAACTTGATAGGTACAAAGAACTTCAACTGGTACCAATGCCTAATAAGGATCTATTTTTTATAGGACTCCACTATAAAACATTAACTAATTCAACTCAAGTCTAGTCTCAAAACTAGAAAAACAGCTTAACTTCATGTCAACAATTGCTGTAGGCTATGGGCTCCTCAAAGTACCACCTCTGCTTCTACCAGCACACTGGAAGCAGCATAGTAGGACAGGAAAAGGAGATGCATGTAGGACTGAATTCTTACTCTGTGAGTGTCTAGTTGTGTAATTTCTGAGATACATAACCACTCTGAACCTCAGTCTCTTCACTGTAAAATAAAGAAGGTAAGGCCTTCTTTACTATGCTGTACAATACATAGTAAGTAACTTATTCAAGGGGGATACCCAACAAACACTAGAGCTCCCTTTCCTCTTATTTCTGGGGGCATGGGGAATGGATGTACAGATGTCATGTCTACTTTTCCTTTTCATGACCACATTCCACCCTCCTTCACTTTATTTTGGATACAAGAATAAAGTGAGGAAATTAGCCTATGAAAGGCCACTTTGTGAGCTTGCCCCAACGATATGAACAAAGCAATATGCAAGAATGAAAAAGTAACAGTAATTTGCTACATGGCAAACCTGTGAATATTCACATTAGAGGATTTTAAAATTCTCATTAAAGGATGTAGGAAATCAGACCAACCCACTGAATTATGCTTTTTCACTCTTAAATCTGGACTTCGTTAAATAATTGGCAGGGATTTTTGTTTGTTTGTTTCTAGTGATATTGTCAAATCAAAGGCTAGCCAAAGCCAGCTAGATTACCCTCTTGGGGAAGGGTCTCTTAACAGAGGTTGCAAGATAACAGCAATTCATTGGTATCTCTTTTCTGGAAAGCTAGGAGGAAAAGCAGTGAAGAAAAATAAGAAATGACAGAAAGGGCATAGAAAGAGGTGAGGATAAAAAAGGTTTTCTAAATTAGCAGATTATAATCACTAATTTCTCATCTGTTCTACTGGGGTATCAGCTAGCATATTTGTGTAGAATATCTTAGGACCTGAGAAATAGATCACCCTAATTTACAGATATAGATACTTTTCACAGAGGTCAGGAGCCTTAACCAACATGGTACTTAATTAGTAATGAATCCCCTTTCTATTCATGCACTTTCTTCTTTAGTTTAGGTATACAAGTATGTGTGAAAACTATTTTTGTGTGCTGTGGATTTATGTCACTGCATTGTTCTGCAATTTAGAAATTGGTTAATAGGCTCTTCACTCATTTTAAGGAACTCTCACCAAAAGTAATGCTTTCTATTTAGGTAAGACAATTTAAGGGGTGAGTGTTTTGAGAATACAAATAGAAAATGAGGAACTTGTCTGACACCTTGTGCTAACTCCAGAAATAAAAATAAGACTGTTGCTTCCCTCCTTTGTATTGTTCTAAGGTTCTCCTCTGAATGAACAAACATCAAAGATGCTTTATTAAAACCCAGAAAGTTGCTATGCCAGCTACATATGAAATAATTTCTCCCTACCTTTAGATCTATAATTCTGCCATTTAAGAAACAAACATGTCATGTCAGATGGAAGGAGAATATAAGAGTAGACATCTGAATCAACTCCTCCAGTTTCTCATGGCTTCTTAGACACTGAGGAAATCTCACAAATGAATCTGATTTACCATAAAATATGCCCAATTTCCATTAATTCTTGCTCATTGCTTCACTGAGGCAACGAAGTTACCAACATTTCACTGGTTGACCCTGCAGGACCACCTCTTGATCTTATTAGTCCACAAAATAAACCATGCCTAAGAGAAGCCTTGAAGGAAGAGTTTTATTGTTTTTATTCACATCACTTATTCTGCACATTGCTTAAACTAGAGATGGTAGCAGTTCATTGAAGACAGCTGCACTAGTCAGACCCTTGGAGAAAATACTGGGAAATGTTACTTCTCCTGTCACATGCTTGATAGGAAGATGTCAGTTTAAGACAGGCTTAGGGCAGGACATCAGAAATCTGTTTTCAGAGCCTTAGTGGAATAATGAAAGCATTAGAACCCTTCATAACTCAGTTAAAATTGCAGAGCTGCTAAGTACCCATTGTATGACCTTGATGAAGTCACTTAACCATCAAAATGTACTTTCCTCATACATAGAAAGGATATGATATGACTAAAGATAATCATCGGGGATGTTATTATCAGTGTGTACATAATAAATGCCAGCAATCTTGATTATGATGGTGATGATTAGTATTCTAATCCAAGCACTGTCATTTAGTAGCTGTAAGTCCTTGAATGGGGAATTTTGAGTTTCATTTTCTTCTGAAAATAGAATAAAATTTACCTTGCAGGGTTGGTTTGAGGACCGGAAATGGCGTACAGAATATGTCTAGTCACAGTCTTTAGCCTAGCACAAGTAGATTCTTAATAATTTACTAAGAATCTGTTTTCACTACCACCTATTAGTTATATAACAACCTGTTTAAACTTAAAAGAAGTCATCTTAACACATAAAGGGTTGCTTTTCTTGATGTGATAAATTTAATTTTCAGCCCATCTAATAAATGTTTACTTGAAGGGAGAGGGATTAAGGATGGCAACGTGAGAAGTGAGACAGAGGCTTCCTCCTAATACCACATATAATAGGAAAATATAATCAATCTGACTAATCCTGAAAGAGCAATAGGAAAGAGGACTGTGCCAAACTGCATACACCTGGAGAAAATAATAAACCTCAAAGAACAGGGTAATGGACCAAAGCAATGGCCTGGGGGGACCCAAGCCCTTTCCCAACACCACCTCAACAGTGGGAGGAAGAGAAATGGAGAGGGGAGGGAGTGGAGGCCTGGGATTGCTGAATACCTAACTCCAGAGATCTGCTCTGGGAACATAAACCTGCATTTCATGGTGCTTTCATGGTACTCTCCTGATTGGGGAGTTAGAAAGCTAAGACAGGCAGGATACCTGGAGAGACTGAGATTCCAGCCGCTTGTGGAAAGCATGGGTCCATGGTTCTGGCTGCTCTGGGACAAAAGAAAGGTGGGCAGTTGAGAGACTTACTAACAGCAAGAGGGCTGCTAAAGGGGCAAGGATTACAGAGAGCTTACTGCTCAGGAGAAAGGACAGATAGACAAAATTGTCTAGGTGCACTCTGCCCAGCAGGTTGGGAACTTTCATAATCTTCAGATGCTCCAGCTCCCTGGATGGATACACAGCTCCAAGGACCCCCTCTATGATAGGCAGCCTACTGTGTCTTTCTCTCGGCCAGTCCCACCTGGCTTGCAAACCAGCAAACCCTACCCTGATGTTACACCAGCCAGAGGGAAGCCCTATCTACAGCAACTACAAACACAAAGCACAGAGGCTTATATCTGTGTGCTCAGCCCACTGGTTCTGGCAGTAGAGACAGGCATACCAGCCGGGAAGCAGGAAACAGCTCTTTCCTCCACCCAAGGACAAATACTGTTTCCTTGCTACCCCTGACATTGCTTCAGGGGCTAAGCAGCTCCAGAGAGCAGAGCATCTTGGCACTAGAGGGTGCCATTTACAAATATAAAACTCCAAAGGAATCTAGTTAAAAGTAAAATTATCAATACAACAACTGAGAAAGATTCAAATGAAATTGACCTCATGAATCTTCTTGAAAGGGATTTCAAAATAAAAATCATTACCATGCTCATGGAGGTACGGAAAAATATTCAAGAACTCAGGAATGAATTTAGGATGGAGATCCAATCATTGAAGAGCACAATGGAGAGTATTAAAAGCAGATTATATATGGTGGAGGAGATGACAAATGAAGTAGAAATGAGAGAAGAGGAATACAGAGAGAAAAAAGGATCTCTAAGAATGAAAGAATATTTAAAGAACTGTGTGACCAAACCAAATGGAACAATATTCATATTATAAGAGTACCAGAAGAAGAAGAGAGAGGAAAGGGGATAGAAAGTGTCACTGAGGAGGTAATTGCTGAAAACTTCCCCAGTCTGGGGAAGGAGATAATCTCCCACGCTATGGAGGTGC